GAGACGAGACGAGAAGGGAAGAGAAAGGAAAGGGAAGGAAGATGTCTGCATTGTATTAAATTGCAATACAATCTTCTCAGACAGGAGATGGGCCACAAACAACACTCTCAAACAAGTCTCATGTATGTTTAGTGAAATGAATTGGTTCAAAATTCATACTGGATGCAGTCTCTCTTCCAACTTAAAGGCAGCCAATAAGACTCACTAACTGTACTAACATGTGCAGGTATTTGCCGCCTTCAGATTTGCTAGTTCTCACAACACCTTTCAACCTGTGGAGAAAGTCTCCTAGTGTAGCCTGGAAAAGACCCGCCTGAAGCAGTGACCTTTCCAGGGTATAGGATTAACCAAGAGTCTGACTCTGGCTCAGATAAAGCTGTACCTTTCTTCACATTCAAAGGATGAGGGCAATTGACCGCAATCAGTGGTGAATGCCTCCTGTCTATACTGCCAGAGGCCTGCCGAGCACTCCCCCTCCTCTGTCAAAAATGGTTTGGGGCCCAGACTAGAATTTTTCAAGGAGGACCAAAATAACAACAGCAATCAAGTTCCGATAGAAAGAGAAAGGTACTGCAATCTCTGTTTTATTTCAGATAAATTCCATCACTTGCTTTGATTTTTCACTTTTTTTAATCACCATTTTCTTGCCTGGTCTTATTTTGGAAACATCTTCTTAACAGTTTCTGTGAATCTGTTTTTTTAAATCCTGTATAGTTGTTTCAATTGTAGGATGTGGAGCCCTACACCCGGCGTTAGCATTGCAATCTTTACCAGGTAAAGACTCCTAAACCTTCACTGGGACTGATTTTAATCAATTGACTGAGTCACAAACTACCAAATGTGTGAAGGTCAGGTGATTTATTTAATTTTGAAAGGATGGAAGAATTATTCCAACCTAGCAGAAGTCAAGAGTTACAGGCCCTTCTGACTTCTTTCCAGAGCTGATTCATTCTGACTCCTTATTAGGGGGTGGGGGAAGGGCTGGGAGACTGGGATCAGCGTCCTAGCAGCATTCTCTGAACCCTGTGAAGAAAGTGGTCTGTGAGGGCTACAATCTGAAGAGAAAAGGAGCAGGGAGAGCTTCTGCACTCCAAAGATCTCCATTCCAAACACTTGAAAGTTTTCACATTGAACACCAACAACGCACAAGCTTGTGGTTTTTCTGCATAGAGCAAACCCTAACCTGAACCCACCAGCTTTCTCTCAGCCTGTGCAGCAGTTGATTTAAGGCTGTGTCACTGAGGAAAGAGCTCTACTTATGTAGGTACAATCAGAAATGCTTTCTTTGTAGTATCTTTGTTTATTCATTTTCCTCATCTGGAAGCAGAACAATTGCTCCAAAATTAACCCCGTCAGGGCTGCATGACCATCACCACAGTAATAGGCATGAATTCTAATTTGGTCCCTAGATCATATTTCTTGTCGGTATTTTAGTTCCAAATAGGCATCTAAGTCTATACCTGCACCAATTGCCTAATTCTGCAACCCCTTTCTGCCCTTTTGGTTTCTAGTTCTTCCATGACAGAGCCATCCAAAGGGAGTATAGGATTTCTCCAACAAAGCGTAATTCACTTCATAGGCCACAGTGGAAATCTGACCCCCTCACCACAATCACCAAGAATCAAGCCATTAGGACTCTCTGAAAGTTGCTAATCATTCCTGTTTTACCCTTTGCATCAGCAAGCAGCTCAGAACTTACCCCTCCTTCCAGAGGGCTTGCGATCCACCCAAGTTCTCCCTGAACAGATCTGGAATCCAATAAAGTAACTGCAAAAAAATAAAAAAGGAAAATAGATTAATTTCCAATTGGAAAAAGCCAATAATACAAAAACCATTTGCCTGAGCGTTTCCATATGTGTGGAGGGTGTGCGTATCCAACTCTGATCAAAACCTAAACTTGGTCTCGCTTATGTAAATAATCATTATTCACTTGATCCTCTCTCCTCTTTAAATCTGCAGGTTCTTATTTATTTAACTTGCTTAGCATTTAAAATTCCATCCTAGGGCTCAGTTGACTCATTTTCTAAGGAGAATGAATAGAGAATCTCAAGTACAATTCAATATATATTGTAGGGCAGTAACACTTGACAGCAAAATTTGCATTCATCTCTGTCTGGTATCTGCTAGAAGTGTTTGTTTGTGCAAGTTTCAGACGACCGGATAACTCATCCGCATGGCGACAGAAGCCCAAGTGAATTCTGTCAGAGCGACTATGGGGTCAGCGAGAAAGCTCTCTCCCCTAACATGTTTCCCCTTCACCACCAAATAAATAGTCCCTGTAGGTGATATCCGCTGCTTACAAAAAAGAAGTTGCAGAACAGAGGGGTGCGGGAAGGGGTGCCAGACGTGAGGAATTAGAATGCAAATGTCCTTAAGCTCCGCTGTCTTTCTCGGGTCTTTTGGAGGACAATCCGAGGCTCGTCCTCCGCCCCCGCCCCCGCCCCCCAGGAAATCTCGGGCTTGAATTTTAGGTGCGCAGAGCAAATGGCTTCAGTCGGCCTGTGCTCCACTGGAGAGTGTGCCTCAAAGCTTGAGGGGAAAAGAGAGGGAGCCCACAGAGCTGCAGTACCCCGCTCCGGCTGGAAGAGAACTGGGCAAGGACGACACTGAAAGGGACGCAGTGAATTCGAAACCTCCTCAACACTCCCTTCCCCCCGCCCCCCTCAATCCGCAGGCCTGGAGGTCGAAGGCCCATCTCAAAGGCTTCGCTGGGTTATTAATTTGATCAGCGAGGCTGGTCTTCAGGCTGGGGGAGGGGTGGGAATGCGAAGACTATCCCTGCTCCCGTGCACCCCTATTCTCAGTCAGTCTCACCCCCAGGCCCATGCCCCCTCTTATTATGCACCCCTGAGTCAAGACAGTTAAAACTGAGCCCCTCCCCCCTTCTCCTGGGGAACCTGAATTCCCGAGGTCTGTTAATTATTTTAAAATGTTGAACCTTCCCGGTCCGTTCCCGCCCGGAGTTGAGCCCCCTCCTCATTCTCTTCTCTAGGTCCCGGGAGAAAAGCCCGCTACATCCATTTGGATTTATGTAAGGTGGATTAGGGACACAAAGGGAACAATACGACCCAATTTACAAAAAAAGGGAGGGAGTAGAAAGGGAGGGTAAATGGGAGAAAAGGAAACGTGATGGGAATAAAAAGCAACAAAATGAATTAATTTTTAAGGGAAGGAGGAGCTGGGGAGAGGGGTGCAATCCCCCCTTTCAACCTCAGTGCCTTTTTGTCTAGCGTTCCCAAGTTTTGCTTCCAAAAGAATATGCAAAAAGAAGTCAAAGAAAGGAAGGAGGCGGGGCGGGGGGAATCTCTACATCTAGGGCGAGAGAGGTCTAGGAAGCGTCCGAACAAGTGTGCAAAGTAGCCAAGAAAGCGCAGAGTCTACTATTCAGCCCAGAAAAGGACCCTAGAGATTGGGCAGAGACGCAGACAGTAACCGAACCCAGGTCCGAAGCGGGGCAGGCCGAAAGGACTGGAGAGGGCGCCTCTCCCCTGGAGCAGATCCTAAAGGCAGGTGTACCCTACAGCCTCAGCCTCGCTCTGGAGAGCTCTGGGTACCTGCTGGCCAGCCAAGGCTAAGTTGGCTTTTGGCTCCCTCCTTCGGAGCAGGGAAAATGATAGGCTGCCCAGGAACGGGTGGATGGACCGACAGATGGCTGGGGAGACAGAGACGGACGGACGGACGGATGGGTGGACGGATAGACTGACGGAGGGATGGTTGCCTAGGGAGACCAAGAGCCAGACGGACAGATGGACGGGTGGACATGGAGAGGGATAGAGTGCAGCAGAGTGTCGAGGCTGCATGCACGCAGGCTGGAAAGCAAGCTTTTCTCTGGGAGGCCCGCACACGCGCTCGGGCCACTCTCGCAGACACACACAGTCCGCGTCCACGAAGGCACACCCGCGCGCCGGGGTAGCGGGCGCACACACACACACACACACACACACACACACACACACATACACCGCGTCACACGCTCACACAGTTCGCCTCTTTCTGGAGCTATCAGACACTAAATGGTCACACAGACACACACACACACAGACACACACACACACAGACACACACACACACACACACACAAAACACACATACTTGGTCCTCCCAGCACATCTAAACAGATGCACAGCCAACGGCACCCGATGAATCCTGCTCGTCTCACGCCTTCGCTCTAAACTAGCCCCGTGTACTGTTTGTGGGGAGGGAGCCGTGAAAACTCCACTGTGTCCAACTTGTCGGCCGGTGCTCCGGGTTTACAGGGCGATCTGAGGCTCTAGGGGCTGCCCTCGGCCGGCAATCGCAGCTAAAGGAGCGGGGCCCAGCGCAGAGAAAGGTGACTGCGGCCGGGTTATAGAAACCAGGTCACTGTCGTCCGCAAGTGGCGCCACGGCCGCTGTGATGCGGAGGCCTGGAGTCCGGTCCCGGGCAGCGCGAAGCTCGAGAAACTTTGCAGAAAGCAGAGCTCCCAGGCTTTCGAGAGGACCCGCAGCCCCGCGCCTCCGCTGCGAGGCAAACTCGCGCTTCCCCCTCGCCTAGAGCTGCCGCTAAGGAACACTCGGAGCCCAATTTTGGTTCCCTTTCAGGTCCTGACTTGGGCTCCGTGTGTCCCTCGGAGCTCTTCAAGCCGCCCCCAAGAGAGGATGCTGATAAACTTTGGCCCTCCACTACAAACTTGGGTCTCCCGGCCGCCCGCACGGGTCATCGGCTCGGCACGGTCTGCCCGGGGGCTCAGTGCCGCTCTCCTCCGCCACCCTGGTGCCTGCAACCTTCCCCTAGTCTGGACGCACGGCTCGCGCTTGGGTCCCCACTCCCGCGGGCCCCGCGCTTGCGGGGACCCTTTCCCCGCAGACCGCAGAAAGGCCACCCCGCGCCTACCTTCATTCGCCGGGTACACCCTAGAACCGGTGACAGCGTCGCAAATCCCAAAGAGAAACGAAAAGAAGACGAAATACAAAATCCCAGCCATGGTTCGCCGTGCCAATGCTGCTATCCTACCGCTTCTATCCCAGTGGAATAAATGCTTAAGTTAGAAGTGCAGCAGGCTGAAGACATTGCCAAGAGGGTGGGCCCGGCCCGTGACGCACGCCCGCCAGTCTGGGGCCCTCGGCCAATGGGGGAGCACAGGGGGTGGCCCCGGCCCCGCCCCAGCGCAGAGCCCGCCCCCGGCCCCGCCCCTCCGGGCTCCGCGGGGCGCGGGTCTCCAGGGGCTCGAGTTGTCTGGCCCCCGCCCCGCGGGAGTGAACTCGTGTGGTCCCCGACGCCACGAAGGATGTGGTCCCTGGCCCCCGGCGGGAGCGTCTGAAGCCTGAATTAACTGTGGGAACCCTAGAAAATGTTGGCGACCTTCTATTCTCCCAATGGGAGGCAGGAGATGGAGAGAAGGTTCTTAATGAAAGGCAGTAGGGACAAAGTTGCACTGGCCCTTCGTTCCTTTCCAGAGGTCCGGGGAGCTCCTCGGTCCGCAGTGCTTTCAGGGTACTTGGATAGCTGGAGTACGCGTTTCTGCGGCTCGCCCAGAAAGCGCGGACACTGGCGTCCCCAGTGCCAAGCCCGCTGCAGGGCTCAGTGGCTGTCTCTGAGACGAAACGAGTGACTTTCTAGCGTCAGGAGTCCCAACACCCGCCCGGGTTCCCGAGGTCACAATGAACAACTCGCCCCGAGTCCGAGCCGCGTCTTCGCGGCAGCGCGCCGCCCCGAGAGTGCCTGGGACTCGGGGAACCAGCAGTGTGCTTTCCTGAGGGAGTCCCTGGGCTCTGGCCCAGCATTCCGGAGCGCAGGGGATAGAAATGAGGGGTGCATTGTGAGCTCGGGGTCTGCAGCTGCCCCAACCGCGCACGGAGATCGGAGCCGTGCGCGCCCTGGACCACAGAAATCCGCCTGGGCGCCCCTGACCCGGCCAGGGTAGCCGCCAGGTGTGCAGGAACCGCAGGGCTGTGACCTTTCCCCCAGGGTTGGTTAGCAGGCTCAGCCACCTGAGCGCCCGGCGGCAACGGCCTCGGGCCGGTTACGCGGTACCGCCCCCGGGGCAACTCGCAGCATTTTCTCTAGGGCTGAAAGAAACCCTGATTCCTAGCGAAGACGCTGCGTTCCTTCTCCCAGGGGCCTGTCCTCTGGCTCCCTCCTGGGCAAGGCAGGGTATTCCTCTCTAGCCAGGGTCCCAGTGGGAGCGCGACCACCGAGAACTGCAAGCACCTTTCCAGCCATGGCGGCCGCTCTTCGTGAACCAACCGCGCCACCTGCCGGCGGGATCCGGGCGTGCGCGGCCACGAAGGAAGAAGGGCGCGCGGACAAAGACTGCATCCAACCACCGAGAGAGGTAGCATGTGTTTGTCCACCTGCCCCTGTCCTGCACACTCTGGCCACTATTGGGGGGTGGCAGTGCATAGGATTGGGAAGTTCTACCGCGCTTCTCGCCACCTAGTTTGCAAATATAGGGCTCAGAAAGCATTTGATGGAAAAAATGAACAGTAGACAACCGAGGGGTTGCTTGAGCCAATAGCTGCTCTCCCAAAAATTGCAATCTTAGATAGAGCCAGAACCGAGAGGGCGGCGTGGGGCTGAGAACCGATCGCGCGTCACCGGCCTCGGTTTCAGGTTACTGGACTCGGTGGCAGAACATGTTTTCCCCATGGCTGGAGAGCTGCCTTGGTTTTACGTGAAAACTCAAACCTGGACTAACAACATGAACAACTTTTACTTGAGAGCTCTCGGCTAGGCGCTGGGCACAAGCTGAGCTGGTGCCCTGGAGGGGCATCTTGTGCGGCTGCTGGCATTGTGGCTCCTTGGTGAGAGTCCTACAGAAATGTCACTGCCCGGGAAAGCGGATTTCAGTTCAGTTACTGTAGCTGCTGATTTAGCACAAGTGAAGGGAGGGTGCACACAAGGGACTATATATATATAGCAGCAATAAGGCCCTTTAAGGAATGCATTTCTAGGTTCTTTCATGTGTCTTTCTGAGTTTTACAGAAACCAAAAATGAATATTAGTCCTTGTCATTTGGCACACAGATTCGAAAGAGAAAAAAAGAGCAATCTGAATTCTTTCTGAAACAATAGGTGCTGGTTGCCTCTCTGCAGGAGCTTGATTGTTGAATGTATCTGCGGTTGAAATGGGAAACTGACTGCCTGCATCGTTAAAACGCTAAGAATTCTTTGAAAAAATAAAAAACAAACAGCATACACCATCCCCCTCTCCTATACACACACTGAATATTAAACAACATCTTTTCCAGCCATGGCTGCCTACAGCAGCCGGGCAGCATTTGCTGGGATGTACCCCAAGACCTCCTTTTCCTTTCTATTTTTTCATTTCAGGCCTTCAAGAAAGCCAGAAGCAAGAGAACCAAGAAGCAGGAAACACTAACCTGGTAAAGCTGTGCTATAACTTCCTGTGTAAAGCGTTTCTGGGCTTCAGATCAGAAGTGAGCTGCTGTCCTCCTCTGTGATTACTTGGAGGAAATCCCTCTGTCTGTTGTGATTACCTAGGGGGAAATGTGCCGACCAGGCCAACGGGATTTCTCCTAAATATAGGACAAAGATGAAACTATGAAAATAGTTCCTGGCCTATCGTTGAGGAAGAACCTGCCCTGCACTCCTAAAACTGAAAAACACCCCAGAATTTTCAAATAATCAATGAAAGTCATAGAGATATCAGAGTAGAAATAGTGTACTTTCTTTTTTTTTTTTTTTTTCCTGTATTTTAGGGAAGGGTCTACAGGGTGTTCAGGGTCTCACTACTAGATCGGACTCATAGTGATCCGCCTGTGTTCAATCTACCAAGAGCTGGGATTACAGCGTGCGCTCCGCATGCCAGGGATGGAACAAACACCTGGCCACTGCGCTCTGCCTAAGCAGGTGCTTTAGTCTGCTGCACTGTCTGGCCGGCCCTTAGGCTGTGTATCTTTGAATAGGTTACTTAACCTCTCTGAAATATGGCCTTCTTATCTATAAATTATAATTATGCTACATAATACATTCGTATTGAATGAGCCTTATAGCATACACTTTATAGTATTTGGCTAGATAGCTATTGTTACACTGTAATAGTATTTCATTAATACTTGCTAATATTAGATAGGAAATCACATATTTAACTTGAACCTTTCCTTTCACAAGGAAATCAAGCTTTATGATATATATTGTGTGCTCCATGAGGAGACGGTGCTCACTAGCCCGTTGGTACAGAGGAGAAATGAACTCTAACACCTTCCCTTCCTGTTAATTTATTTTTCTTATTGGTGTCAGCTTACGTCCACATTCATGGTTGATTCAATGGACTGAACCTAAAGATTACACGTGTATTTAAATATGATAGTTGCAAAACTAATGAAATGAAACATGGTGCGGGGAATCAGAAGTCCCACAGCCAGCAGCCAAAGCTCGCTGCCATGAAGCAGCCAAGCAGCCGCCTACTTCAGAAAGCTGTGACTGCAGCTACTATGTTACATGCAATAATCTGAAGCAACATTTGGTGGGCTTCCTGCCGCCCTGGGAAGCCTAGTCAGAGGCCTCAAGGCTCTGATGCCAGGGCTTTGATGTTCTTTCTTATGTAAATGAGGAGCAGCTTTGCCTACCCCTTCACACCTGTGAGGGAGGGATGGCTGCAGAGCTCAGGTCTTGATGACCAAGAAGATGGGACTCAGAAGCAGCAAGGGACCTTTGAGCCACTGAGTACCAACGTGTCATCAGCCCTCACGCATATATCTCAATGGCCAATTGCATACCGAATGCCGTAATTTAGGATTTCAAAGGTTTCTTCCCGGCCCTGACCCTGCAAGATTCAACCCACCACACAGTGTTGTGAGAGCCGGGTGGAGACTGTCAGGAAGCCGTCCTGAGGCTGGGGGGAGGCAGATGGAGCAGCATGCACCGAAACTCCATTCAGTTCTGCTCCAAGTCTAGAGGCCATGAGTTTTCAAGCAGGAGAATTTTTTTTCTTTTTTGGGAAGGGTCTACAGGGTGTTCAGGGTCTCACTACTAGATCGGACTCATAGTGATCCACCTGTTTACAGCCTCCCAAGAACTGGGATTACCCCCTTCCTTCAAACCCCCCCCCCATCCCTGTGCCAGCTTGCAGGCACTTTAATCCACTGAGTTATTTGGCTGGCTCTAGAGGAGAATTTGGAAGACACCCTCTGTATATTTTGGGGGCTGCTATGTTGCAGGCAAGACTTAAATATTAGAACTGTTCTATGTTTTAGGCATGAAAGTTTCCCCTCAGAAGTACAAATTTTCTCTTCCTTAGGACATCTCTTCTCTGAACTCCTTGAATATAATGCCTATGGCATGGGGTCTATTCATTTTAACTCAAAAATGTGAGTGTAAAGCAACAAGTAATGGTCATTAAATATTTTGGCTATTAATACTTCAATACGGGGGCTGGGGAGATGGCTCAGTAGAATAAGTGCTTCTCTGGCAAGCGCAAGGGCCTGAGTTCAATCCCTGGTTCTCAAGAAAACAGAAATTATCCCATGCACATTATCTGACCACAGTGCAATGAAACTGGAAATAAATGAAAAAAAAAAAAAAAAAAAAAAAAAACCTTCAATACTTAATAGCTATATTGATTTAAGATTACTAAAAAAGCTTTTGAAATTATGGTTATTTTATGATGAAAAACTAATGATGATATATATGTGAATAACATCAAGCTGGTATAATTTCTAAGCCACTTTCAAGGGAGAAATAATTATCTGGTCAAAGTATCAATTTATAGATATTCTGCAAAAGGGCCAGAGAGATAGTTCATCAGGCGTAAGTGCCTGCCTGGCAAGCACAAGGTCCCAAGTTGGATCCCTGGTATTGCCAAAAAAAAAACCCAAAGCAAACAAAGAAATACTGTAATAGCCCCTTTCCTTTTTTCTTTCTGAAAAACAATATATAATTGCAAAGAAATTCTCTAAGACAGTATATGGCCATGAACATAACATGTGATTTAGTACATAATGAAGATATAAATTTGCAAACATACTTTTCCTCCCTCCCCCCTCCCACCAGTTGAAAGCATTTACTAGGCACTT